TTAATACCACTTTACAATGCCTTAGTAAGGCCACACTTGGAATACTGCATCCAGTTTTGGTCACCACGATGTAAAAAAGATGCTGAGACTCTAGAAAGAGTACAGAGAAGAGCAACAAAGATGATTAGGGGACTGGAGGCTAAAACATATAAGGAACAGTTGCTGGAATTGGGTATGTCTAGTTTAATGAAGAGAAGGATGAGGGGGGACATGATAGCAGTGTTCCAATATCTCAGGGGCTGCCACAAAGAAGAAGGAGTCAAGCTATTCTCCAAGGCGCCTGAAGGCAGGACGAGAAGTAACGGATGGAAACTGATCAAGAAAAGAAGCAACTTAGAACTAAGGAGAAACTTCCTGACAGAACAATTAACCAATGGAACAACCTGCCTCCAGAAGCGGTGAATGCTCCAACACTGGAAGTTTTTAAGAAGAGACTGGACAGCCATTTGTCTGAAATGGTGTAGGGTTCCTGCCTGAGCAGGCGGTTGGACTCGATGACCTCCAAGGTCCCTTCCAACTTTATTATTATTATTAGTAGATTGTGCCCAATGCTTTATCCTCAATATCCCTTTATTAATTAGCCCATGCATTGTAAGTAGAAATGGTGCCTTGCTATCTGTATCTTGTACTTCTCTAAAACACATAGCATCTTGTCACTTGATAAGACATTAATTGTGTGATTGCAATTAATATGCACATTTTTCTAAATATCAGTCACAGGAAAAATCTGAACAAGTCTTTTTTTTACTAGAAGCACAAAGCTTCATTTAATATTTATTTTTTTAAAGCATGTTTGCTCTGCTCTTTGCTAAACTAGCCCCCAAAGTTGCAAATTATCAGAAGCAAGATAATCTCTGCTTTTAGATTTACAAGGTAAAGGCAGAAGAAAAAGTTGAAAATAAAACAAATTCCTAAGTTTGCAGTTCTTAAAATTATAGGGCTCATTATAAACAGGTAAGATTGAAGTATTCAGTTAGCCTGGTGGCACCAGGACTTGCAAACAAGTGTACTTAACTGCCTCTGACTGCAAATACTTTTTAACCTGATTTTGAGCTGAAAAATACGTAGCTCCCTGTTGTGGCATTCAGGTAGTCCCTGACTTTCAACCAGTTACTTGGTGATTATTTGAAATTATGATGGATGATTGAAAAAATACTTATGATCCAGTTTTGAAGTTTCAGTGGCTATCCCCCCCCCTCCCAGGTCTGCAGTTTTGGCAACTGGCAACTCACCCACGTTTACGGCTGTTTGCAGCATCCTGCAGTCATGCGACCACAAAACCGGCTTTGTGGTTTTCAGCAAAACTGCCATGTTTGGCAATGGATTTGCTTAATGACTATGGTGATTCAGCACTTAGGAACTGAGTTGGCACAATGGTTGACTCTGCCATCCAGCCTTCTGAGGCTGGAATGAGAACTCAGATTGTTGGGGCATAGGCTGGTGTTGTAAAGCACCCAAAGGGTGCTGTAAAGCTCCATGGAGTGATATATAAGTGCTATTGCTATTGCTTAACAACCGCTGAAAAAGGTCATAAAATCAGGCAGGGCACATGAGTGAGTCACTTTATGATCATGGCCTTACCACCATAATGGCTCCATTATGGTTGTAAGTTGACAACTATCTGTAATTCCTTTTGTCAAATCAAGGCTTGTATCTGAAGATTTCATTCATATTTCAATACATTTTTCTAACCAACATTATCAAATGCATGAATACATGTTTTTTGTGCAATTTTTGAATCAAGAAATATTTCTAAGATATTTTGGAGGTTAACTTGTGGTGCAAATCATACCATCTCACTTGAAAAGAACAACAATAGATTCTCCAATAATTGTGCTGGTATTTCCTGATTTGTATTTAACTATTGTCAGAAATGTCCAGAGGAACTAAGGCTGCTACACTACTGTCATCCATCCTTGTATCAGGCCGGAATAAATTTAAATAACCAATAAAGTACAAAAAAATGTTAAGCTAAGAGAGGCTACCACAAAATGTTGCACAAAATGAGTAATTATAGATTGGAAGATGGTTGTTCAAATACATAGATTTATGTAGCATACTGTAAGACTGCACTGTTTATTTAAGATGACAATGAATACACTTCCCATCAAGGGATATTCACTACTTTTAACTTCCAAATATTCCCTTCTGCAGTTCTTATGGTCAATATAAAAGCTGATAGGATTCAGACTTTCAAATAAAGTGTCCATATTCTCAGACTGCACATACTGAAAAATAATTCTAATTAAATGGTCATACAGTACGTGTAATTGAATGCAATTGTAAGATACTGTATTGTATCACAGAATGTAAAAATAGTTGGGTCACTGTGATTTTTTTAAATGGTTCTATAGATTGCCTATTTGGATTCTGGGGGAAAAGCCAACACAGCTTTCAGATTTTCAGCTGAACAGAACTGAACAGATTTGATGGTAGCAAAATACCGAGTTGTCTTCACCATTATCAACTATGAAAATGTAAAATGGGACTTTGCAATTGGTTTACTGTCACCAGAACTCTAAAAATTGACTTCACAATTTCACTGCTATCAATTATTCAAAATATCAAGTCACTGATACAATTTATCTACATTACAAATCATTCTTTTGTTCCATGTGAAACTATATTTATAACAAAACCAGCAGGTATGTCTACTTCCAAGGAATGAGATATCATTCTAGAGAGAGGTTCTGCTGCAACAAAATTGCAGAAGTATTTCAGTGGTTAAAAATTGGAGATTCTCCCCACACATGCACACAAAACCCCTCTTTTCTGCAACCTTCAAAAGCCCCTTCTAATCAAAATGAACCAAATTAATTAGTGTGGTTTCTTCATACTTTTATGAAACAACAGAAGCAAAAATGATTTTTAAAAATGTCATTTTTTTTAAAAAAAATAGAATTCTTCTTCCCCTCAAAACAAAATAGGGAGAACGGAGGTTTTCTGTGATATACAGAAAACGTGCACACCTGGGATCACATGCTGTCACACATATGAGAGGGTTTAATAGTATGCAGTGGATCCTCTGGCCCTACAAGACTTATACGTCCTATTCGGATCTGATAGGAACCTGTACATATCAAATCAATAAGAAGAAGCTAAGAATTGAACAAATTAAAATTTGAGTTTCATTTTATAGTCTAATTGTGTAATTTATTTCCCTGAAAAATGGACTTATTATTTTAGAAGCTACCACCAAACAATACAATAGTCTTTCTCCTTCCTTCCTTCCTTCCTTCCTTCCTTCCTTCCTTCCTTCCTTCCTTCCTTCCTTCCCTCCCTCCCTCCCTCCCTCCCTCTCTCCCTCCCTCCTTTACTTCTTCTTAGATAAAGTCTCAAGGTTTATATTTCTAAACAGATATTAAATATTACTAATAACTGAATACAGTCTATTTCAATAAAATTGAAAACTTGCTTTGCATATCAAGTGGGCATCATTGCTGGGTGTGAGTTCAGTGAGTTCATTTTACATCCACATTTAACAAATGACATTATTCAGTTTCATGGGGTCATT